GGAAGAAGAAAGTACAAGGAACTGTATGTTGGGTTTCTGTTAATGGGAGGCAAGTCCCAGAATCCCACATTTATCCTCACAGGTAGTCATCTGTTTTGGTCTCCTCTCCCTAAAAACATGGAGGAGTGTGAAAAACAGCAGAGAACACTGAGGCTGATAACAGTGTTAAAGGAGTGGAGGTTAAATTTTAGCCCCAAAAGATAAAGTGAACAGAAGGGGGCAGGCTGGCAAAGAAGGGATAAAAATAGAAGAGTGACTAGACTTCACTTGACTGCTGTTTCTGGATCAACTATGGAAAGAGATCTGAGAAGGTTTTCTATTTGGAAGGGAGAGAGAGACCAAAACATACTTGCCTTCTAGAAGGCCACAGTCCTGCACAGCAGTTTTGTTTATGCTTCTGCTTTTCTAAATCCCTGCATTCTCACTATTTAGAAACAGTGCTGTTCAGCCAAAATGCCATTATGTGTCTAAGGGAGTAACCAGAATAGATTTTCTGGAGCAGGACAGCAATGCGTGTGGCGTTTCAATCTCATAGAAACAAAGCTGACAGCACATTGTAAAAGTGTGCAGCAAATCACAACGCCAAGCAGAGTAAACTAAACCATGTAATACTTTAGGAAAATAACCAAAGCCCTGCAGTATCTCCGAGAGGCTGTCCTGTGCTTTCCCACTCTGAAATGATCAGTGAAATTCTAACTAGTTCCAATTACGGACACAGATTAAAGAGGACAGCAGGGACCTCCCAACTACAGTATGTAATGCCTGACTGACACATGGCTCTGAGGATGAATGTTTCTGCCTGTTCGAGCCCCTTCCTCTTGAGTACCTCAGTTAAAATTCCTTCCATTGAGTAATTTCTATCCAGATCCTGGCTGTGCTGGCTTTGTTCCCATATAAAAGAAAACCTGCAGGCAGAAAGTAGTGCCATCTCCCAAGTCAGAAGCTGCTTTAATGGACAAGTTTGGTGCGAAGGGGAACAGGCTATTACGCTTTATCTTCAGCAGCAGGAGTGATGTTTTTCCTTTCCCAGGAGTAGGTTATACTGAGCACACTCGCGCCTGAAGTATTTGTCCACAAATATACACAGATCTCAATGGATACTGCACAAGCAACCTCCAGAAAAAACATCCATCCTCTTTTTTCCTGTTCAATTTGCAATTCAATCTTTAAATTTCATTTTACCTGTCAGATCAGTCGTTTTTTTTTTCTGCGACAGCTTCATCGGGCTCCACTTTCTATTCCTGTAAATGAATGAGAACCCTGCCATCACATCTAGGAAGTATCAGCAGTGGCGAGGCAGAAACACCAAGGCCCTTCTGTCCCTACAGAGAGAATTCTGCACCGATGCTGTTTCTGAACTTTTTTTTTTTTTCCCCCAATTTGCACGTCCCTTTTCCATAACTGTTCTGACTGGATGGTTTGCTCTGAATTCTCATCTGGAGCAGGTCTGCGACTTGGATGGCCTAGTACAGGTTTCACAAGAAACAATGGAAAAGCTTCCTCTGAATATTTTTATCCTTGCAAATATCTTCAGGGCTAGGAAAAGATCTTTCTATTCTTGCCAATTAACCAAGCACAGTTTTTATCCTTCCTTGTTGGGTAATCTTCTCATTAGACCATCTTTGGAGAGAATAGTGGATTCTCTCTGGGCGGCTGGCAGTTTTACTTAATTGCATATTTAACTTTTTATTCAGCACTTAAACTCATAACGACGAGAAATACATACACGCAAGCAGCAAACTATTATCTGCCAATTAAACTCCCTTGAGAACTCATAAACCTCTTAATATTTCTGCCCCTTTCAGAAGAGTGCATACACTCCACAGCTAGGGGAGGGAAGGGGGCAGGGGGAAGATGACAAACATATATAACGTAATTTCAGTGATATATTAGCCGTTACTGACAAAACTCCAGTTTGGGAAGGGGGGTGGTGCTTTGGTCCTTCATGTATTTTAAAAGTTCTAGAAAAAATCAGCCAACTCAACCAGTGCTAAATGGAAACTCATATTAGTTCTCTCATAGGTTCCTCCACCTCCAGAGGATATTCTGTCAGGGCACAGTACCTTCACTTCTCTTCTCCCCTTCCCCAACTCCAAGCTCTAAATTGAAGAAATATTTTACAGACGTTAGTATCCACGGGAATGTACCTCATATTCGATTCCAGAGCTACAGAATTTTCTCTGGAAGACCCTTCTTGCCACTGGATTGCGCTCTGGAATAGCAACTTCTATTTTAAAATGCTTCCAGCCCTTATGACTGCAAAACCTCTGAAGCATCAATCAACAACAAAGCCGTTGAACTCTTCAGAAACACCAGAACAGCTTCAGTATTAACTATTACCCTTCATCGCAGTACGCCCAGTATAGAAATCAATGTTGATAGCGTTTAGAAGGATCTGATTAATGGATCACCTCGGAGTTGTAAAAACCTGACACTCCCCTGTGTGGGGACACAAAACCCCAGTGCTTCCAGTCTGTTTGCCAAAACCTCCAGTACCCCATGATAAACGTCTGTGAGTCAGCTACATGAAGCTAATACAAAAAAAACCAGCATGGTCAATAACATGAGAGCATTGGAAACGTGAATTTATCAGCATGTTACTGTATGATAAGCTTTCCTAGTTCCTCTATTAAAAATCTTTTCAATACACAAAGCACCAGATATTTCCAGCCTGCTCTATCAGAGTGCCAGGGATTGCAGTTCTAAACCATATCCAGACCCTGGCAGGCCATCCACTTGATCCCTAGGAGATTTGTCCTGCCATCAGCAAACACGGAGTGTGAGGTGTAAGAAAAGGAAGAGTACTTGAAAGCCTTCTAGACATCCCAACTAATCAGATTAACACCAGCAAGGACTCGGTAACATTCTTAAGTAATTCTCATGGCAACTACTTCAGCCAGTTTTCAGTCTTACCATACCGAACCATCCTGGTTCTCATTTGAGCTGCTTTTTTTCTAATGATGTGGTTAAAGAGTGTCAGGGAAATCATCAAGTTTAAAAGCTACAGAGCAAAAGGCAGGTAAGCTTTATTTTCTCTAATGAATGGTTATTGCTTCACTTATTTAAGTAGTACTTATCACCATCAATATCTATTAAACATACTTGCCAATATTGGTGTAGTCAGTGCTTTCCTAGGTAATACCCTTCTCTAAACGGATAGCAAAAATAAAGAGGAGAATAAGTGAGTAAACAACTAGGCATGCCCCTTAAGAAAAGCCTTCGCAGGGACAAAAGCCTGAAGACTTTTAAAAAAAAAGCCTGAGGACTATTTAATTGCACAAGATTCAAAATAGTTTCCTTGCCAAGTATTGCATAATATGTTCATTCAAAATCCAGCAAGCTTTCTCACAGAGCACACCGAGACACTGTTCCCTCACCCACTTTTTTGTCTTTTAAATACAAACACGAAAATTTCGCAGCTGATAACATTCTTCTGGAAAATCACACAGAATATTCTGGAAAAGACTCAGGTTTGGACTACAATGTTGTAAGTAACAGCAAATGTCTCCACATACTCAAATTCTTCATCCCAGCACTCTTGGTGAAGTGTAAGCAACAGAACAAGTGGGTTTTACAGGGCTTTGGAAGTGAACTCTGGCCTCCAAACCATAAATTAGGGGAAAAAAGAGAAAAAGCCTACATACCTTCAAAGCACATTTCTGGCCTGTCTCCTTGTTGAAACACTCCAGCACTTTGCCATTGATTCCTAACCCTAGCACCCGTTTGGAGAGTTTGTAGTCATCCGTAACTGCATGTTTTTTTATCTCTAGTTTGACATGGGCGGCTCCCCCAGGCAAGGATTTCACACTGCTCTTGCTATCCACGTGACTCTCTGGCTGGGATTCCTGTTCCCCTTCACTTTGTTCCATATCAGGGAAGAGTCCGAGATGACAGAGATCAACAGACTCCCTGTGGGTTATCCTCAGCAGAGTCCCTCCTCTTAGGCGATCAAACCCAGTGCTTCAGACAGTCCTTTGCTCGCCATTTATTCCTGAGTTAAAATATAAACGAGTATTAGTAACTGATGTGAACTGACCGTTCTCCCACCTGACCACTTTTCTCTCTTCCCTTCTTAAGAAGATGACCAGGTGCCAGAGCGACCCAAGGCAGAGGTTCACCTCAGGAAAGCACTTTGTTTAGCTTCACAGACCAGTCGCGCCGGTTCCCATACACACAGCTATCAGTCCGCATTATAAATTACTGCTTTAATTGCGACAAGTATCTGTGCTGAGGCTTGGACTGAAGTCTTACTCGGCTAAGCTGTGTATGACAGAGTAAAGGTAGTCTCTGCTTTAAGGAGCTTTTAAACCTGCATCAACAACCTGTTGCCTCAGCGTTTTCTGTAGATATCTCTGCAGTGGACCCCTGTCTCATCCCAACACTCTAAGTTACACAGGAGAATACCTGGATTAAACCCCAGTGGGGCAGGCATCGGACCCGACGCCGGGCCAGCACTTACCCGATGGCCCCAGCCACAGAGCGAGGGGCAGGGGCAGCAGCGCCCCGGGGGGCACC